TCTTTAATTACCCTCTGTCTGTTTTCAGGGAATGTGTTAAGAAAAATTTCATATGAGTGTTTGCTGCTAGCAGTGTTTGAACAAGCTGAATCTATTACTGCTCTAATTTTTCTATTTGATACTTTCAATGTTTCAAGTTGTCTTCAGACAGAAAACAATTTATTTGTACAATGGTATATTTAGGAAAGTTGTTGTCTTCAAACAGAAATCAATTTATTTGTACAATGGTTTATTTAGGAAAGTTGTTGTCTTCAAACAGAAATCAATTTATTTGTACAATGGTTTATTTAGGAAAGTTGTTGTCTTCAAACAGAAATCAATTTATTTGTACAATGGTATATTTAGGAAAGTTGTTGTCTTAGACAGAAATCAATGTATTTGTTTTATTTAGGATCTTGTTGATCTGAATTGGTATTATCATTTTTTTTGCTATTTTCTATAAGTTTAGGGACAAGGCGGTTGATTTGAGTGTTGAATATATATAAATAGTTTCAAAAGTGCTAGAAATGTACGAAAATCAAATAATTCCTTCCAAGATATCTCAAACTAGGAATTTCTTTTTTAATTTCTATAGATGTCTTTTCTATATATGGTAGTGTCTCAAGAAAAGACAACTCATGTTATTAACTTAAACCATAGATAATTCTGGACACACATAGATTTGAAGGCTCAAATTTTGACTGTGAGCTGTGAACATTATTACTGATTGACTTAGATAAAAAAAATCTTGTTTCTGAGAGTAAGGTATGATTGGTCAAAAAAATGTTTCACTTCTTTTCAGCTTACACTTTTGACTTTAGAATGATAATTTTTGTTTATGCAATAAAAAAAACAAATAATAATTCAGAAAATAAAATGTAAAATAAATAACATCAGATCATAGTTAAAATATAAATAAGTAAAAAGTAACCTTTTTAGTTCAGTCAAGATTTCTTGAAGATCTCATTAATACTATAAACATATCAAGTTTAGTGATATTGGGTCATATGATTGTAGACAGATATACATTAACCTTAAGCCTTTATCTTCAGATACAAATAATATCTTAAGGATTAATGTGTTAAAAATCCAGAGATAGGCATCAAAAATTTAATTAAGCAGTTTAAAGATTAGAATACAACATAGATATAAAGTGAAAAATTCTTAGTTTATTTCATTAACAATTGTTATAGTTATTTGATTATAGTTGTGAAGAAGATACTTTAATACCAAAATAACAAGTTGGACACTAGTGGTGTGTTCATCAGAATCAGGGTCTGAATCT